AATAGTGTTCTCAATGGGTAAGGGACATGCTCGGATCTGGGAAAAAGTGGATCTGGACTGTGACATCTCAGCTTCTCCATTAGAGCATTCACACATCTGCGGCTTTAGGAAGTAAAACAAAACCCCCAGCAAACAAGCAAAAAAGCCAAATAACCCCCAAACGGCATTTCTGATCACTTACAGATTTGTTTGCCGTCCCTCACACAGCTGCATCAATGCTGGGGATGGTGGGAAGGTGCTTTCTGGGCGCACTCTACAGAAAAGCTGTTTTCAGCTTTTCTGGGTGTCTGCAAGTCTGTGCAGTTGGGTTACGCTGTGGAGTGACGGCCCCTGAAGATCCCGCTGTCCCTACTGCATCGAGCGCAAATGTGCCGTGTGGCTGTGCTTAAATAAATTGATAAATGCCAATTTGAGGCATCCAGCACTTGCCAACTTTGCTGTCAAGCTGCTTTTACAGAACAAGCACCACCCTCACTCCCTATTAGCAACCTTTCAGTCAGTGGTATCTAAAGTAAATGTTTTGTTAAGTATCAGTTTTAACTTGTGCTGAATTTTAAATGCTGCCATGGTGCGTGGCTTTACATCTGTGTGTCCTGGCAAGCAGCGCTTGCTGGGCTACTTGGCAGCTTTCCGGGGCTCTTTGGGGCACCACTTGCCAAAGGCGCGGGGTCCCGGGGACCCAAAGCGGCTCCGATGAGGCCTGGCGAGCAGACGGCTCCTAAGAGGCTCGGAGGGGCGGGATGCGCTTGTTATCCCATCCCTCCTCTTCCTCTCCATCCTTCTCCCCGMGCACCCCCGTTTGTGCGGCGCCCCCCTCGGCCCGAGGGAGCCGCCCGGGCGGCTGGGCGGCCGCGGCCCGACGGGGCGGCCCCGGGGCCCGCGCAGCGCCGCGGGGGAAGCGGCGGCCGCCGCGATTGGCAGAGCGGAGCGGCGGCGTCCAGGAAACGGCTCGGGTTGCAGCGGGGGGAGTGCCCGGGGGCGGGAGGAAGGAGCCGCGGCAGCGAGCGGCGAGGCAGAGGCAGGGAGAGAGGGAGAGAGGAGGGGGGAAAAAAAAAGGAGAAAAAGAGAGAAAAGAAAGAGAGAGAGAGACGAGGGGTTGTCGGCGGAGGAGGCGGCGGGCGCCAGGGCGGGCGGCTGGATGGGGCGC